CCCACACCCATGGCACTGTCACTTTCTCTGATTTGCCCTCAGTGATCAGCACTCTCTCTTGTCTTTGGTCTCTCATTCATACCTGGGTCTTCATGAAGATCCTGGTTATTCCAGGGGCCAGTTTTTATCTGGAAGGGATATACCTCTATGCCTATCTCAATGACATCCTGATCTGGGCATCCTCTATGCCCCTGCTGGACCAGTCCTAAAAGAGAAAGCTACAGTACCTTCTATCCCTTCACTTCCTAATCTGTCAAGATATTTCTCACTGACTGCCCTATCAGAACATTTGTATTTGTGAATGGTCTTAGATACCAGAGTGGCAAAGGCTCATACTGGATATATCCTGAAAAGACCTTACAGGTGGGAAACAGCCACGTGGTACATCCTGAAGAGTGGAGAGAGCTAGCTGGTTCCAGGAGGACAGAATGCATGGAGTCTCGCCTATTAGCTCTCACCCTCCACCTCACAAGTGTAGTCTGCTACACTTCAGAAAATCCTGACTTACAAAGGTTAATGTTAATTGTGCAGCCATGTAAACCAGATAAAATCTTGAAATTGTGGAGATGCACAATCATTCCATAGTGGAAATTAGAGTTAATAATCTATCATTTAAATTTGTCAATTTTTCCAGAGTATAATTGCAGACTCCATGAGAAATGGCTCTCAATGCTTCAAAGGGAGACAGAAAAAGGTGAACATGAGTTTCTCTGCAGGTCAAGGAGATAGAAGACGGCTGAGGCCTTAGTCTCCCCAGACTGTAGCCATGAATTCTAATGTACCTCCCCCCCGGATGGTATCTTTGTGCCATCTATAAAAAAGTCTCACTTGAAAAATGAGATTCATATAGATTTCACTTAAAAAATTCCTAACTCTCTTTCATTGCTGTGATTTACCCAATATCCCAAGAGGTCCCCATATTTGCTGGTTGCCTTCCAGGAGCATGTTGTCAGTCAGTCTGGAACTCATTTATTATGAGTGTAGGCAAGTACAGGAGCTGTCTTTGATAAGAATCCTAAAATTGGCTCAAAATTTACATGGAGGACTAGCCCACATGTAACCTCGTGTCTTTTCTTTTCTTCTCTTCTCGCTCATCAGCAGCTAGCTGCAGAACCTGGAAAAATAATTGCTCAGGTCCATATTTTTCTATCTTATGTCTACCCTAACAGTAGGAATGAGTGTGAGGAGAGGGGATGGCGGAGGGTAAAGGTAATGGGAGGGAGTTGGAGTGCTTAGATCCTAATCCTCACTCTGATCAGTATTGACAAGTTTATTTAGGCTTCATTCCCTCTCCACATCCATTCTTTCTGCCTCAGGGAAACACTTTCTGTAATCAAAATGAAATTTCCTGTGAGCCTTTACTTTGAAGATGGTTTAGGTCATGATTTTAGAGATGTGATGTGACCACCCCATTAGTAAGAAATCTTGCAACATGAAATTCAAATCAAGGATAATCTTAGGGTTAAACAACATGAATTTCATGAAGACAGGAGAGTTTTTATAAAACCCAGAGAACCTGCCCCCAAGAAAAGGAAGGTCACAACTATAGAGTTGACCTCATAGACTTCTTTTTCCAGGCATGTTCAAGGAACAGAAACAAAAGGACCAAAATAATTGAATTGTTTCTCTGAAAAGAAGTTATGATTATGGTACTGTAATTGAGAAATTAACTAGGTTATTAAAATCTTAGAACTGAATATTCAATTAAGGTTCAATGTTGCAATAAAAATGAAGGAAGAAATAAAATATTCAGATTAACTAAGTTACTGGGGAGGCAGAAAAGAGAGGACTACAATAAAGATAACATTAATTGAGATTTCAGCTCTCTTTTACAGTGGAATGAGAATTACAAGATGATTTTTAGAACTCCTAAAGTCTACTTATTCACTTAGTAGAGTCTGTTGAGAAAAATATAGACATTGGAGGACTTTAAGGGTCTCTAATCTTTATCATCAGAAAATGTTTAGTTGTTGAATCTTGTTATTGTTACCTTTTACTTTTACTACTATCACAAAATTTAACACAAAATATCACTGAGCTTTTCACATGTAATATCAAAAAGCAAGATATTGTCAAAGGTTAACTTGGAAGACCATATCCAGTAAACTGATATTAACTGTAGGGATGGTTCTCCAGTGCTTTGCACCTTGTGCAGTCATTTCCACCTGTAAAAAGTGGCTGTAAAATGCTACCAAATCAGAATGGTAGCATTTTACATCCACTTTGCACAGGTATGATTCACTATACAGGGAGCACAGTGGAGTGTCAGGCCCTTATTTTTTTAAAAAAGAGAATAAAAATGGAGGGTTTAAAAGAAACACTGTGGAAATACAGTCAAATAAATAATAAAAAGTAAAAAATGCAAGGACAATAGAGAAATACAGTCCCTGAACAATTCAAAAATTAAGGTTTCAGCTAAATGGAAGCAATAATAGCATACTATTTTTAAGTACAAATCTCTGTTAATGACACCTCTTAGCCTAATGCTGCTAGCCTAACTCTACTCACACCCCACACTTCTGTAAGCAAATGAACAGAAGTACTGTGAACTTCCTGCCAGGAAGTCTTTTACTGCTTCTTCCCCCTTGAGAAAAGAGATTGGATCAAGGAGTCAGGGATGCAGAGCAAAGTGGGCGGATGGACCAATTATAATAATGGTTTCCTATCAGATGAGAGCAGGAGGGCCAGTTAGGTCTGGCTTCTTCAAAGCATCTCAATTGTTCCCATCTCTTTGCTTCCCTCCAAATACATGGGAAATGGCTGCTACTGAATATTTAGAGCATATTGGGACTGGACACTGACTACATTCAATTTCTAAAGTGACGCTGGTTGAAACGGAGGAGAGTATTTTTTCATGTTAATAGAATTTGATTTGTTAATGGTAATGTAAGTCATCTTTAATAGTTATTTTCCATACTTTCTTAGCAGAAAGAATTAAAGCTTTGTATTACTCAAGTTTAGGCCTTGTAGGCAGGATTGGACTAAGGCAATCTGGCATCCCAATGGCCCTGCCCCTGAGTCTTGCCCCGCTCCCTACCTTGGAGCGGGGATAGCAGGAGCAGAAACATGAGGCACCCTGTCCCCCCAAGGTATGACAGTAGAGCATCAGGGATCCCTTATCTTCTGCTGGAGATGCAGGAGTGCAGTAGTGAGACTCCCCAGTACGTCGCCCATCAAACAGGTTGTATCTGCTTGGTAGAAAGGTGGGTTGAGGCCCAGTGGATTTTTTCCTCCTACTACACAGAGTCCTCTATTGGAGTGGTGTAGGTAGTGCCCCCTTCATTGCTTCTGGTTATAGTTAACACATCAGTGAGATGCATGGGACAGTGGGACACTGAGGTTTTGTTTCAGGCTCTGTGCAGAGTCGGGCAGCCATCACTGTATCAATTTTGCTTGGTTCATATTTTCAAGCTTTTTGCAACCATGAGCTAGAAATTGACTTTTTAAAAATATTAAAGAGTGAAAGATTCTGATGTAATCATATTACTTCAGGAGCTGAGGCTTTAGACATGGGCCTATAGCATCAATACCTTTAATCCACCCATGAGTTTATGGTATTCTGTTATTAGTATCTTTTTTGTAACCTTCAAGTGTTGGCATATTCTTATTATAATAATAATAATAATAAAGGCTGAAGGAACTGGCTATGTTTAGTTTGGAAAAGAAGAGATTAAGGGGGGATATGATAGCTGTCTTCAACTACTTGAAAGACTGCCATAAGAAAGATGTAGACAAATTGTTCTCTCTTTCCACAGAGGGCAGACAATGGGTTCAAACTACAGCATAGCAGATTTAGATTAAATCTCAGGAAAAACTTTCCTAAATGTAAAACCAGCAGGACAGTGGAACAAACTGTCCAGGGAAGTCATGGAAGCTCCTTCACTGGAGGTTTTCAAAAAGAGGCTGGATAGCCATCTGTCTTGGGTTGTTTAGACACAACAAATCTTGAATATTGATAGGATGTTAGACTAGATGAACATTGTGATCCCTTCTAACCCTGTGGTTCTATGATTCTATGACCTCTGTCCCTTGAACTAAGAGTAGATGGTAGCAGTAATAATCTCATGTGTGGATCAGCCAACAAAGAGGGATGTGACACATCTCTTTTTGTTAAACAGCGGAAGAATGTTGTGAATCAGTTTTCTGTTGCTGGCTCTGGAGGGGCCTTTTGTCCAGTAGTTACAGACAGCCACAGACAAAGAAATGTCTGAAATTCTGAAAGACACTGACTATGTTGATAAGATTTGCTGTATTAGAGACTTATGTCAGTACCAATTGCACAAGAAGTGACTTTGTGCAACTTCTGTTACTTTATTTGTAAGATAGGTGGATGAAAGTTGATCACTTCCCAAGGCTGAGGCATTAGGCCTTGCTCAGTAATGAAGACTATGATAGGTACCGAATTAATGCCAGCCAATGGAAGGGCTGAAACTAAGGGTTTATCGATACAAATACTTAGTTTGCAGTGAGATGGGGTATAAATCTATCCCACACTAACTTGCTGCACACTAAATGTGCTGCCACACACAAAAGTTCCCTAATGCACTTTAATCTATTCCCATTTCAAAGCAGGGTAGATCATAGCACACATGGGAAATTTTCGTTCTAAGCAAAAAGCAGATTTGACAGTAGGATGAGTTGAGCTCTTGCTCTCTTATCCTAGCAGAGACTTCATTTGTGTTCTTGATCTGGTTTTATGGTATTCTTTTGAACCCTTCCATTTACTGGCATTAGAAACTTGCATATCTCTAAATTGTTATGTACTTCAGCATAATATTTCAGTTAATTGTTATATTGGTGGCTCGTCTACCACTGATAGAATTTCAGTTATGATGTTACAGAAGTACGAAGATGTATTTTAAAAGACAAAGCATATGGTGGGCAGACAATCCCATGCAAAATGTTGATCAGATAATCCTCCGACACTCATCAAGGTCAAATTAAGGCTTCCTGTTAAAATCCCTTGCTGCTTTTTAAACATGGTATTTTTTTCCCTTTAGGAATGGCAGAATTCTATTCAGAAGAATGCAGGACTTGCGTTTATTGAGCTCATCAATGAAGGAAGGTAATTAATTTTAAAGCTTTTGGACAAGTAGTCATTTTGCATTTCATTCCATTGGGTGATGCTACTTTCTCACCATCTGCTCCAGAAAGACTTGAGAAAAGGCCCTTTTAATTAAAAGAAATTTACTGCACAAATACTGTGCAAAGCAAATATTTAATTTAGTAAGGTATAAAATGTTAAACTCTTATTAATTGACTGAAAACACCCTGTGTGCTGTGTAAAGGTTTGAGGTTTATTTGAGATTTGAGCCATTATCCTACTGAGTAGCAAGGTTGTTTTACACAGAGGATCTAGGGAGCCCAATCTGTAAACCCATCTGCCACTCCATCTGTTTTAGGAGCACAGTATTCATTGTGCAGATGCACTTCCTTATACTCTCAGTTCATGAGAAATTATTTTATCTAGACTACTTGGTGCTGTCTAAGGTACTACATAAAACAGATTGAACATCAAGTTTATGTGAGCTACCTAGTTTTACAAGCAGTTAAGCTACTTTATTAACACTAGAGTAATTTTAATGTTACTTTGGTCTGTGTCTGCTTTTATCTTTTGTTCTGTGCCATCATTTTTCAATACTCTCTGTCCAGCCAGCTGAGCAATAATGGTGCACTCTTTGGATTAGCTGGCAGAAGATATTTCAAGGCAGATGTAGTCATCACCTCCATTGCCTGTATAGCTTCTATTGGCCAGGGAGTAGAAGCTTTTTAAACCTAGATGTCTTTGATGGTATTATATGTGGTGCTGAACAAAAATCTTCATAATAATACACTTGTTGAAGATTTTTTTGCCGGTTTGTTTTATAGTTTCATTTTTACTGGTAGTATGACATTAACAATACGGAAACATCAAATCTTCCCTTGTTGAAATGTTATCTTTATTGATGAAGCATAATTTTTTTGGTCTAATTGTATGATATACTCATATGCTGTTCAGTCGTACATTCTTGTCATGGGATGACTAGTAAACATAGTAAAAATAATGCAGTAAACAGCTCTATCTAGAAACTAAGTTTACACACTTGGGCTAGATTTTCAGTTGGTGTAAATGAGCATAGTTCCCTTGAAGGCAATGGAGCTACACTGATATACATCATCTGAGAATCTGGCCCATGTGACTGTAAACTCTTCTGGGCAGGAACCATGTCTTTATATGTGTTTGTAGAGCACCTCTCACAAATGGGGCAATGATCCTGACTGAAGACTATTGTAGTATAAATATTAAATAATAATAAACTGTACAGTAAGCTTGGTTTCTATAGTTTTGTCCAAATTTCTTGGCTTATTTCCCGTGGTTTTTAAACGTAACCATTTTAGCTGGAAAACTCACCCACATTTTTTTTTGTTTGTTTACAGCATCATCATCTGATAGTAAAATCAGATCTGATTATTGCACACTCGTTAATAAAATGAGAGTGCTGAACAAATGGCAAAACTGCATTTTTTAAGTTCATATGTAATAACCGTGAAATATCAGTGGGCTGTGTACATCCATCTAGCAGTAACCTTCAAAGCAAAAGGAGCAGTATTAAAGAACTTGCTCTTTAGGTCCAACCAAATGAATGCCTAAACAGACTATCTGTAGGTACATCTTCTTCCACATATTTTTGTCAAAGGTATGTTTCAGAATATGTGGGTGAGTGTGTGTGTGTTACTAGGACACTTGTTCTCCTCCACAGTTAGCAGATCAGTTTTTAATTTACCCTTCTGGGGATAAAGATAACAATCCTTTAAGTGGAAATTGTTATAAATATTTATTCTACTTAATAGCTAAACTTGTGAATGTGATTCATCAATCATAGCTAGAGAATGTGATTGTGCAGTTGTCAACAATTAACAGGACATAAACAGTTGATGAATGTGCAGCTGAATTAAAGTGCTCCCTAGGACAGCCTGAAATTATAAACTGGATCATTTAAAGGAATTTAACAAAGGATCTTTATAATTAAAACAAAGCACGGTTAATGGGATGTAAAATTGTATATAATCACCATGCAATAATGACTGGATTTTAAATTGTTAAAGTGCAAAATGAAGACTAAGAATAGTTAAAAAGTCTGAATTAGATTGTGAATAATCTATTTAATAAATCAACAGTTTCACCAAAATAAACCCTGTCTAGCTCATCTTTTTTTAACAAAATTAAAAATACAAGGAAAGTAGTTCATAATTTTTAATCATTCAGTCTTACACCTTCAGGTTTTAAAATATGGATGTTATTAAAAGGTTTCCTAATTTTGATTTCCTGTTTCTTGTTTCTGCATCAAAACATTTGTGCACCATTGTGATCTTTAATGACTTCACTGGAAATATAATGAAACAAGACTTTTCATTATAATAATTAGTTTGGACTCCTAAAATAAAAACAGATTGCCCACATTCCTGTTGCTTGAGTTTTGATAAATAGTGTCCTGTCTTTAAATAATATGTATAAGTATATTTGTATTTTAGCTTACTCAAGGTAGTGTTGTGCTATGGATGTCTGAACCGCTTCTATTTGTGTAGTCATGATTTACATGACATTCTGGCACTATTTTCCAGTTTTAGGAACATGGGATTACTACCCAGGTACTCCTGAGTTTATTTCTGATTCTGTTGCTGACTCCCTCTCTAACCTTAGACAAGTTACATTACCTCTGTCTCAGTTTTCCCATGTGTAAAATTGAGATAATACTTACCTACCTCAAAGGGCTGTTATGAGGATTAGTTCATGGTTGACAATTAAAATTAAAAAGTTGCATAATTGCTAAGTATTATTCATAGGCACTATTTTCGTAGTTTTCAGTATAAAAAGAGCTTCTGGTTATAACATACATTTATAGGAAAATTCCATTAAATATCAATTTGTACATTGACACTGCAAAATTTTTCAGTCCTTAGAATCATAGAAATGTAGGGCTGTAAAGACCTTGAAACGTCATCAGCTGAGGCAAGGCTAAGTACACCTAGACCATCCCTGACATGTGTTTGTCCAACCTGTTGTTAAAACCTCCAATGATGGGGATTCCACAGCCTCCCTTGGAAGCCTACTCCAGAGCTTAACTACTCTTATAGTTAGAAAGTTTTCCCTAATATCTAACCTAAATCTCCTTGCTGCAGATTAAACCAACTATTCCTTGGTCTGTCTTCAGTGGACAAGGAGAATAACTGATCATCATCTTCTTTATAACAGCCCTTAACACCTTGGAAGACTATCAGGTCCCCCCCACAGTCTCCTTTTCTTAGGACTAAACAGCCATAGTTTTTTTTAAACCTTTCTTCATAGGTCAGGTTTTCTAAATCTTCTATCATTTTTGTTGCTCTCCTCTGGAATCTCTCCAATTTGCCCATGTGTCCTAAAGTTTGGCACCCAGAATTGGGCACAGTATTCCAGCCATCAATCCTCACCATTGCTGAGTAGAGCAGGACAATTACCTTCCATGTCTTAGGGCTTGTCTACACTACCCGCTGGATTGGCGGGCAGCAAACGATCCAGCGGGGGTCAATTTATCGCTGAGCACTCTCCCGTCGACTCCAGTACTCCACCAGAATGAGGAGCGCAAGTGGAGTCGACAGGAGAGCATCAGCTGTTGACTTCTCAGGCCTGGTCTACACTACGAGTTTAGGTCGACTTTAGCCGCGTTAAATCGAATTAAGCCTGGACACATTCACACGACGAAGCCCTTTCTTTCGACTTAAAGGGCCCTTTAAACCGGTTTCTTTACACCACCTCCGACGAGGGGATTAGCGATAAAATCGGCCTTAGGGGGTCGGAATTGGGTGTGTGTGGACGGAATTCGACGTTATTGGCCTCCAGGAGCTATCCCACAGTGCTTCATTGTGACCGCTCTGGACAGCACTCTCAACTCAGATGCACTGGCCAGGTAGACAGGAAAAGCCCCGCGAACATTTGAATTTCATTTCCTGTTTGCTGAGCGTGGAGAGCACAGGTCGCTCATCAGCACAGGTAGCCGTGATGGAGTCCCAGGATCGCAAAAGAGCTCCAGCATGGACAGAACGGGAGGTTCGGGATCTGATCGCCATATGGGGAGATGAATCAGTGCTGGCCGAACTCCGAAGCAGTAAACGAAACGGCAAAATATTAGAAAAGGTCTCCAGGGCCATGAAGGACAGAAGCCATAACAGGGATGCACAGCAGTGCCGCGTGAAAATTAAGGAGCTAAGGCAAGCCTACCACAAAGCCAGAGAGGCAAACGGAAGGTCCGGGGCTGAGCCGCAAACATGCCGCTTCTACGCAGAGCTGCATGCCATTCTAGAGGGTGCAGCCACCACTACCCCAACCGTGTGCTATGAGTCCCTCACTGGAGAAACACACAGGAAAGCGGGTTCTGGGGACGAGGAAGATGAGCCTGAAGATAATGTAAATAGCTCACAGCAGCAAGGAAGCGGAGAAACCAGTTTCCCCAACAGCCAGGATATGTTTATCACCCTGGACCTGGAACCAGTAGCCCCCGAACTCACCCAAGACCCTGTGGGCACACAGGGGACCTCTGGTGAGTGTACCTTTGTAAATATTACACATGGTTTAAAAGCAAGCGTGTTTAATGATTAATGATTAATTTGCCCTGGCAATCGCGGCCAGTACAGCTACTGGAAAAGTCTGTTAACGTGTATGGGGATGGAGCGGAAATCCTCCAGGGACATCTCCAGAAAGCTCTCCTTCATGTACTCCCAAAGCCTTTGCAAAAGGTTTCTGGGGAGGGCTGCCTTATCCCGTCCGCCATGGTAGGACACTTTACCACGCCAGGCCAGTAGCACGTAGTCTGGAATCATTGCATAACAAAGCATGGCAGCGTATGGTCCCGGTGTTTGCTGGCATGCAGACAACATCCATTCCTTATCTCTCTTTGTTATCCTCAGGAGAGTGATATCATTCACGGTCACCTGGTTAAAATGGGGCAATTTTATTAAGGGGACATTCAGAGGTGCCCCTTCCTGGTCTGCTGAACAGAAATATTCCCCGCTGTTAACCACGCGGTGGGGGGGAGGGGTGAAGTGACCATC